GAAGCAGCTGAAAAGTGAGCCTGGGAAGAATGGCTTGGGACCAAGTGAGGACAATTGTAGGCCCATTCTTCTTCCATCTTTCCTTCGATTACTAAGGATGGCGAGTCATGGGAGAGCAATAAAACCATCCCATTTCCACTGGAGACGTGCAAAACCCTCCCTTATCTCTTGTCAAAGGTTGGCAGGAGCAGGTGCAAGCATTGTTGGGCTAAGAGGTAGGGCAGTCTGCCAAAGGCAGATGGTCACAACAGATGAAAGCACACCGGCACCGTTGCTCCTTGCTTTAGGCCCAGCTCAAAACATTCCCCAGTTTTAGCTCATCCAAACCAGTGCCAACGAGTGGCTGTGACTAATGGGTCCTATGTCAGTGGGGCGTTGAGTCCATTCCAGGTCTTGGCTCACTCCAAAGGAGCTCTCCAAGTGCTGAATCCACTTACACATGAGGTTCAGCACCATGGAATAGTCTGGAATGGATTCACTGTCAACATGGAAGCAATACATCAACATGGTTTGTTGTTGTTGTTTATATGCTCCTCTCTTCAAAAAGAGACTCAAAGCAGTGAAAGACCCAAAGTCAGCGTTTCTCAACCTGGGGGATGGGGTAGTCAGAAGGTTTCAGAGGGGTCACCAAAGACCATCATATATTTCTGATGGTCTTTGGGACCCCTTTGGCAGAGAAAGCTGAAGATCTCTCCGCCTGTCCTTCTCTTCCTTTTGGAAACAGAGGGTGAATCCTCCCACTAAAAGCCCTCCTCTGCTGTGATTGCCCAGCCTGTCAGCCAAGGGGAGGGCTGTTTCTGAGTTTCCAAGTGGAGAGGGGAGAGTAGGCGTGCTCGGCGCATGGCAGCATGCTGCACATGTGCAGGGAAGGGAGAGCATGCAGGGCTGGAGGGAGGCTCATGCAAGCAAGTCCCTTCAAGGCATAGGGATTCTGTGTGGGACGTTTGGCCTAATTCTATCTTTGGTGGGGTTCAGAATGCTCTTTGATTGTAGGTGAACTATAAATCCCAGCAACTACAACTCCCAATGTCAAGCTTTATTTCCCCCAAACTCCACCAGTGTTCACATTTGGGCATATTGAGTATTCGAGCTAAGTTTGGTTCAGCTCTGTCATTGATTGAATCCACAGTGTTCTCTGGAGGTAGGTGAACTACAACTCCAAAACTCAAGGTCAATGCCCACCAAACCCTTCCAGTATTTTCTGTAGGTCATGGGAGTTCTGCATGCCAAGTTTGTTTCCATTCAATTGTTGATGGAGTTGCTCAAATGTCTGTTGCGGAGTTTCTGAACCTGGGGGTAGGGACCCCTGGGAGGGGTCGCAAGGGGGTGTCAGGGAGGTCACCAAAGTCCACCAGAAAACACAGTATTTTCTGTTGGTTGTGGGAGATCTGTGTGCCAAATTTGCCCCAGTTCTATCGTTGGTGGGGTTCAGAATGCTCTTTGATTGTAGGTGAACTATAAATCCAAGCAACTACAAATCCCAAATGTCAACCTTGATTTCTCATGAACTCCACCAGTGTTCACATTTGGGCATATTGAGTATCCGAGCCAAGTTTGGTTCAGATCCATCATTGATTGAATCCACAGTGTTCTCTGGATGTAGGTGAACTACAACTCCAAAACTCAAGATCAATGCCCACCAAACCCTTCCAGTATTTTCCGTAGGTCATGGGAGTTCTGTGTGCCAAGCCTGGTTCAATTCCATCATTGGTGGAGTTCAGAACGCTCTTTGATTGTAGTGAATTATAAGTCTACAACTACAACTCGCAAATGACAAAATCAATCCCTCTCCTCACCCACACCAGTATTCAAATATGGGCGCATTGGATATTTGTGGCCCATTTGGTCCAGTGAATGAATATACATCCTGCATATCATATGTTTACATAACGATTAATATCAGTAGTAAAATTACAATTATGAAGTAGCAACGAAAATAATGTTATGGTTGGGGGTCACCACAACATGAGGAACTGTATTAAGAGGTTGCGGTATTAGGAAGGTTGAGAACCACTGCTCAAAGTGGTGAATCCATCCATTCGTCCATCTATTGGAGATCGGTGAGATGATTTTGATGGACTCATTGATTGATTATTTCTTTGTTTACTGTTTGTTGTCCTATTTATTTCCCACCACTTCCTCCCGTGATTTCGTAGTATGCAATTTTCTCTCGCCTTCTTCCCCGCTTTATTGTCATCACAACAACCCTTTGAGGGAGTACGAGAACGAAAGAGAGACAATCTGACTCAAGATGAAGGTTGCAAAGATTGCGGGAGGGGAAAAAAGAATCGTATTTCGGCGACCAGGAAAATGCTCCCATGAATGGAAAGAAAGTTCGTTCTTGTTTGCCGTGAGGCTTTATGGTGGCCATAAAGTGGGTTTATTTCCATTCAGGTTAAGAAGGCCTCTGTGATGTAAGGTCTTTGCAGAATGTCTCATGAGAAGAACAACCTTTTCCCTTGCTGCCAAGCTGTCGTCTCTTCTCACCTCTTTGGTTTTCCTTTGGCTTTCTTGTCTTACTTACTTACTTAGGCGATCCCTCGTAGCTTGAGGATGATTGTCCTCCAAGTTCGGTGTCCTGGCAGTAGGTCCGTAGGTGGCTGTGGAGCTCTATTCTTGATCTGCATGTTCTCCTGCAGTGAGGATATCTGTTTCCAGATGGAAGGCGGTCCCGGTCAGGGTTGGCTTGACGTGCCTTCCTCTTGGCACGTTTCTCCCTTTTGCCCTCCATACGTGCCTCTTTGAATTCTGCAGCACTGCTGGTCACAGCTGACCTCCAGCTAGACCGCTCAAGGGCCAGGGCTTCCCAGTTCTCGGTGTCTATGCCACATTTTTTGAGGTTGGCTTTAAGTCCATCTTTTCCTGTCCACTGACATTACATTTCCTATACTTGAGTTGGGAGTAGAGTAACTGCTTTGGGAGACGGTGATCGGGCATTCCAGTGGAGTTGATGGTGGAGGACCATCGCTTCAATGCTGGTGGTCTTTGCTTCTTCCAGCACCCTGGCATTTGTCCGCCTGTCTTCCCAAGAGATTTGCAGGATTTTTCGGAGGCAGCGCTCATGGAAGTGTTCCAAGAGTTGCGTATGAAGTCTGTAGACATGAAGACTTGTCATGAAGGAGTTCTTGTCCTAAAACTGACCTGAAGCAAAGCTGAGATTTTGTCCTTTGGATCCAGGTTGAGATTTAGGTCCATCCATGTGGACTCCATAAAAGTCCATCTGTGACTTTAGCCTGTTGTTGTAAACATTGAACAAGTTAACTTGTGGAGTAACTTGAGCTCCTTGCTTTTCAAATACTTTTTGTTACTGATAAGAGAATACCGAGAATGTTGTTTTCATGGTTGTTGTATGCTGTTCAAATCATTTCCAGGGTTTTTTGGGGCCTGAGAGTATGTTTCCATGCTGAGCAACGATTTGAACCCTTGTCTCCAGAGCTCAAACCACAACATCAAAGCCTCTTAAAATGCATTGAGAAACCAGTCAGCAAAGTGATTTCACCCATGCTTAAGATTTTTGAAATTATTTATTTTATTTATCGAAGGTACAGTTGTAATGTATTTAAAAACACAAAGTTTAAAAACTTAGCCTTATACGAAATGTCCTTTGACCAGTAGCTGGCCACTTGTCTCTACGTGGGGTTGCCTCTGAAGACTGCCCGGAAGCTGCAACTAGTCCAACGAGCAGCAGCCAGATTACTAACAGGAGTGGGGTACAGGGACCACACTACTCCTTTGGCTGCCAATTAGCTTCCGAGCACAATTCAAAGTGCTGGTGTTGACCTACAAATCACTACAAATCACGAAACGACTCCGGCCCAGTTTACCTGTCTGAACGGATTCTCCCCTACAAACCATCGAGGTTGTTAAGATCTTCTGGAGGGGTCCTGCTCTTGGTCCCACCACCTTTGCAATCGCGTCTGGTGAGGACGAGAGACAAGGCCTTCCCAGTGGTGGCCCCTCGGCTGTGGAACTCTCTCCTGATGGGAATTAGATCTGCCCCTTCCCTCCTAACTTTCAGAAAGCTAGTGAAATCCTGGCTCTGGGACATAGCATTCTCAGAATGATTGGCGAGTCAACAATAACCTAATAACTACTGACCACACTGGCGGATTGTGATGAATGTGTTTTATCTTGGCGACTTGGCTTTTATGTATTTATTCTATTTGTATTTTAATGTATTATGATGTTATTAGTTTATTTGTGTATGGATTTTCTGTTAGCCGGCCTGAGTCCCTCCGCAGAGGTTGAGAAGACCGGGATATAAAAGTTCTAAATAAATAAATAAATTGGAGTGCCTCTGGTGCTGCTGTGAGAAGATCTCCACACGCCTGCATTTTAGATGGATTAGGAATCAGCTGGTTTTCCCTGTAATAGGCAGAAAGCACACCTAAAGCTTTGGAGAGCTTCTGTTCAACCATCTCAAAGCTCCCAGCTTGAGCGGTGATGGCACGATCGTCAGCATAGATGAAACTGAATGAGATGAATTTAATCTCTTAACGCAAGAAGGCAAAGACGGCTCTCCCATTGCCAAAGGCCTAACTATCCTAAAGGCATCGGATCCTGTCTGATTGGGGATGCTAAGAAAAGACACTAAGCCAGGTCAGTCCTGGTTAGTGCTTGAATGGGAGACCAACAGGAAGGAAGGAAGGAAGGAAGGAAGGAAGGAAGGAAGGAAGGAGAGAGGGAGGAGGGCCTGGGTTTGCCCATACCTGATTTAGATGCTGAGCAGAGTCATAGAATCATAGAATCATAGAGTTGGAAGAGACCTCATGGGCCATCCAGTCCAACCCCCTGCCAAGAAGCAGGAATATTGCATTCAAAGCACCCCTGACAGATGACCATCCAGCCTCTGGAGGACTCGCCACTACCACTGAAAGGCAACAGATATTGTCCTGAAAATGACAGAGCTGTGCCACAAGCTCTTTACACTCTACTTTTGGTTGTGGCGCAATGTTCACTCTTGCAGCTCAGACCTGACTCCCTTTCTTTTCTCTCCCCAGTTCCACCCTTTGTCTCTCTGCAACACCAGCGAGGATGAGCACACCGTCCCTGGATTTGTCTCTATTGTCAAGCTGGAGCGGCCTGAGAGGGACCTCCGGCCCTGCCTTTCGTTGGCCAACAAGGTAAGGATAGGTCCGTTTTTCTCAATATTGATGCTGGTTCTGGGAATTACAGTCAAAAAGGGACTTTGGAAGTTCTAGTTTTCAGCTTTGGTGGAAGAGAGACCAAAATCAGATCTTCCGTGTTGGTCTTCAAGTTGCCTGACCTAATGGCACCACACGTATTTCAGATAATTTTGTTAGGCCAGTTCTCTTCTCTGAATTACAGCACCTGGTATTCATTTGTAGTCTTCCATGCAAGTCCTAACCAAGGCTAATCCTACTTAGCTCCAAGATTAGCTCTACTGCCTTTAGAGTATTTTAGGGCCTTGGCCACGAGAGAGCCATCTTTGCCTTCCTGAGTCCCCCTGGGGAGATGGGGTGGACTGTAAATAAAGTTTCATTCATTCCTGTGTTAAGAGGTTCAGTTCATCTCATTCATTCCCTATCCTCTGTGCATTAATATCAATGTGTGCCTTTGAACTACCACTTATATGGACCCCATGGATTCTGTAAGGTTTTCCTTGGCAAGGAAACCTCAGAGGTCATTTTGACAATTCCTTTCTAGAATCATAGATGAGATCAGATGGCTTTAGGCTCTGGCAATGGGAGAGGTGTTGTTGGAAATAGCAACCTTCCAAGCCTCCACTAACTGATTATAAATGTGTACAATTTTAAACCTATATTGTATGAACATCCTCTGCTAACCAATATATTTTTGTAGTAGAATACCAATATATTTTTGTAGTAGCATATCTTTATCCTTGGTAGTTTAAATACATAGTTCTTCAGTTTCACAGCTAAATTACCTGTGTGCCATTACATGAATGCTTATGAATATCACTTGTTCAAAGGGTTGACTTCTGACAATGTCATGCTTTTCTAGACTAGTGGTTTTCAAAAAGTGGTTCTCCACATGTTCATTGAGATTCACATTTGCCAAACGGATGTGACATCATTTTTACCTTTTCAATAAGGTTATGGAATTTCCAATAGCTGTCTTTGCCTTCCTGTGTCAAGAGTTTAAGTTCATCTCATTCATTCCCTGTCCTCTGTGCACTAATATTTATGTGCGGATTTGAATTGCCTCTTATGTGGACTCCATGAATTTTGTAGGGTTTTCTTTGGCAAGGAAATCTCAGAGGTCATTTTGATATTTACTTTACACCAGTGGTTCTCAATCTGTGGGTCCCTAGGTGTTTTGGCCTACAACTCCCAGAAATCCCAGCCAATTTACCAGCTGTTAGGATTTCTGGGAGTTAAAGGCCAAAACATCTAAGGACCCGCAGGTTGAGAACCACTACTTAATGGAATCATGGATGAGATCAGGTGGCTTTAGGCTCTGGAAATGAGAGAGCTGTCTTTGCCTTCCTATGTCAAGAGTTTAAGTTCAGCTCATTGATTTCCTGTCTTCTACACATTAATATGACTTCAAGATTCTTTTTGACTTATGGTGACCCCATGGATTTCGTAGAGTTTTCTCAGGCAAGGAAGGCTCTGGGGTGGTTTTGCAATCTAAAAAATTGGCCATTATTTGTTGGTAGTCTCCCATCCAAGTCCTAACCTGGGCTGACCCTGCTTCCAAAGATCTTATCAATAGTGTTGTTGGTTCTTTTGTCTTTTTTTAGATCTGTGTCCGCTCTCCTTTCATCAATTTCATTCAAGGTTGTGTTACCTTCCAGTTGCACGAGTGTTTCAGATATTAACGATGCTATAAGATGGTAATCACGGCACTGTTAATAAGCCCATTTCCCCATGCTCTGGGAGTTCTAGTTTGCAGCCTTTGCAGTGGAAGGGGACCCAGCTTAGCTCTTGTGTGTTCATGCCTTCAAGTTGCCGGTTGACTTATGATCATATGTCAGCTTTGAAAATATGGGGGGGGGGGGGGGGTCTTTTGCTCCAAGAAAGAGAAGGTCTCATGTTCAGTAAGAGGCGGGCGTCTCCTCCGAAGTTTGAGAGATCAAAGGGAGGCGTAAATTACTCTGCCACGTCTTGCAACTCAGCCAAGTTTCTTTCCAAAAATCCCAATTTGCTCTGCACTGGATGACGAACCGACTCCGGCCTTCTTGGCTTGCCCAAACCGGCAGTGTCTCCTGAGAAATTAAGTGGTCGTTTCTCTTGGATGTTTGAAATAGAAAAATTGTGGAACGTCTCTATTTGTGTGCTTTTATGCAACAGCATGCATGGTGTTTTTGGTTTGTTTCTCTTTAGCCTTTTGGACCTTGCAGAACCTGAGCTGCTACGGTTTGCTCAACTGCAGTTGCTGGGCAGCTTCAAACTCGGCTCTTTCAAAGGGAAATTGCAAGGGGGTTTCAGAGGGGTCACCATAGTCTATCAGAAAACAGATATTTCTGATGGTCTTAAGAACCTTTTAGCAGAGAAAGTTGAAGATCTCTCCACCTGTCCTGCTCTTGTTCCTACCAAAAGCCCTCCTCCGCTGAGATTGGTTGGCCTCTCAGCCAAGGGAAGGGTTGTTTCTGAGACTCCAAGCAGGGAGGGGAGAGCAAGCCTGCTCGGCGCATGGCAGCGTGGTGTGCATGTGAGCCTCCCTCCAGCATGCGAGGTTGGAGGAAGGCTCATGCCCTTCAAGGCATGGGGGTTCTGTGTGGGAAGTTTTGCCCAATTCTATCATTGAAGGGGTTCAGAATGCTCTTTGATTGTAAGTGGACTATAAATCCCAGCAACTACAACTCCCAAATGTCAAGGTCTATTTTTCCCAGACTCCATCAAGGCTCACATTTGGGCATATTGAGTATTCGTGTCAAGTTTGGTCCAGATCCATCATTGTTTGAGTCTATAGTGCTCTCTGAACATAGGTGAAGTAAAACTCCAAAACTCAAGGCCAAAGCCCACCAAACCCTTCCAGTATTTTCTGTTAGCTATGAGAGTTCTGTGTGCCAAATTTGGTTCAATTCCATCGTTGGTGGAGTTCAGAAATCTCTTTGATTGTAGGTGGACTATAAATCCCAGCAACTACAACTCCCAAATGTCAAGGTCTATTTTTCCCAGACTCCATCAAGGCTCACGTTTGGGCATATTGAGTATTCGTGTCAAGTTTGGTCCAGATCCATCATTGTTTGAGTCTATAGTGCTCTCTGGACATAGGTGAACTGCAACTCCAAAACTCAAGGTCAATGCCTACCAAACCCTTCCAGTATTTTCTGTTGGCTATGAGAGTTCTGTGTGCCAATTTGGTTCAATTCCATCGTTGGAGTTCAGAATGCTCTTTGATTGTAGGTGAACTATAAATCCCAGCAAATACAACTCCCAAATGTCAAGGTCTACTTTCCCAGACTCCACCAGTGTTCACATTTGGGCTCATTGAGTATTCGTGTCAAGTTTGGTCCAGATCCATCATTGTTTGTGTCTACAGTGCTCTCTGGACATAGGTGAACTAAAACTCCAAAACTCAAGGTCAATGCCCATCAAACCCTTCCAGTATTTTTTGTTGGCTATGAGAGTTCTGTGTGCCAATTTGGTGGAATTCAGAATGGTCTTTGATTGTAGGTGAACTATAAATCCTAGCAACTGCAACTCCCAAAGGACAAAATCAACCCCCCACAACCCCACCAGTATTCAAATTTCAGCATATCGGGTATTTGTGCCAAATGTGGTCCAGCAAATGAAAATACTTCCTATATATCAGATGTTTACATGACGATTCATAACAATAGCAGAATTATAGTTATGAAGTAGCAACTAAATTAATGTTATGGTTGAGGGTCACCACAACATGAGGAACTGCATTAAGGGATCGCGGCATGAGGAAGGTTGAGAACCACTTATTGAAGGACCTTGAGAGAACATCTGTAAATCCTTCAGTGCAATTTGGTGCAAAACTTCCAACAGAAGGACCTACAGGTTCAAAGATGGAACCTTCTCTAGAAATATGGAGGCCTTCCAAGTTGCCATGAAGGAACTGTATTAAGGGGTCATGGCATTAGGAAGGTTGAGAACTACTGGTTTAGAGTCCTACTGAAGGACCTTTAGAGAACATCTGTAAATCCTTCAGGGCAATTGGGTGCAAAACTTCCAACAGAAGGACCTACAGGTTCATAGATGGAACTTTCCCTAGACATTTGCAGGTCCTCCAAGTCACCATGAAGGAACTGTATTAAGGGGTTGCAGCATTAGGAAGGTTGAGAACCACTGCTCTAGAGTCATAATGAAGGACCTTGAGAGAACATCTGTAGGTCCTCCAGGGCAATTTGGTACAAAACTTTCAACAGAAGGACCTCTAGACTTCTGGAGGCCCTCCAAGTTGCCATGAAGGAACTGTATTAAGGGATCATGGCATTAGGAAGGTTGTGAACCACTGGTGTAGAGTCCTACTGAAGGACCTTGTGAGAACATCTGTAGGTCCTTCAGGGTAATTCTGTGCAAAACTTCCAACAGAAGGACCTACAGGTTCATAGATAGAACTTTCTCTAGACATTTGCAGGTCCTCCAAGTTGCCATGACAGAACTGTATTAAGGGGTCACGCCATTAGGAAGGTTGAGAACCACTGCTCTAGAGTCATACTGATGCACCTTGAGAGAACATCTATAGGTTCTCCAGGGAAATATGGTGCAAAATTTCCAACAGAAGGACCTACAGGTTCATAGATGGAACCTCCCCTAGACATTTGCAGGTCCTCCAAGTCACCATGAAGGAATTGTATTAAGGGGTCACACTATTAGGAAGGTTGAGAACCACTGGTGTAGAGTCATGTTGAAGGATCTAGAGAGAACATCTGTAGGTCCTTCAGCGCAATTCTATGCAAAACTTCCAACAGAAGGACCTACAGGTTCACAGACAGAACTTTCTCTAGACTTTTGCAAGTCCTTCAAGTCACTATGAATCAATAAGCAGCTTGAAATTACACATACACATCCATACTTAGTGTTATGAGCATTGGATCATGATTGTGAAGACCAGGGTTCTGGCACAGAAGGGGTGTGACAACAACAGACTTCCAGACAGCGGCATATCTTACAGCACTTAATAGTAGTTGTACTATAACAAGGAAGAGAGAGATTTAGGG